AGAGAGAGAGAGAGAGAGAGAGAGAGAGAGAGTGTCCTGGTGTGGCACTGTGGGTTAATGTGCTGGACTGCATGTTTGGTTTGATCCGCAAGGTCAGTGGTTCAAGCTCACCAGCCATTCCTTGGAAACCCTATACAGGGTGGCTGTGAGTGGGAACCAACTCGATGGCACCTAACAACAACATATATATGTATGTATATGTAGTCTTCATGTTCTAAATGTTTACTGTTTAGTGGTTTCACCACCAGCCTGAACACTTGTTGACCAATGGTAGCTGGGTTTTCCTTCTGTTTTGCAGTATATCAACTTTGGAAACCTTGAACAATTACTAGACAGTAACCTGCATTTGCCCTGGACTGTGAGGGTGAAACTGGCCTATGACTTAGCAGTGGGCCTCAGCTACCTTCACTTCAAAGGCATTTTCCATCGGGACCTCACATCCAAGGTATGAAGGCTTTATTTTCATAGCCCTTTGACAGACACTGCCCTTCTTCCTTACCAGGAATCTGTGTTAAGAGATCAATCATTAGTTAGCTTAAAAATGATGAAGCTCTCTTAAAGATTTAGCATTTAATCACAGAGAACACAACTCATTACTCTGTGTAGCTAGTCCTTAGAAAGCCTATGTTACCTTAGAGCAGGTGTCTTTCAGTGTTGAGCCAGGCAACACGTACATCTTGAGAGTCTTATTGTTTGACTTCAGTCTCCTGAATTTGGGTTGTTAAGAGCAGGTGGCAGGGTTCAGTTGCCTTGTAGGAATAGCAGCAATTAAGGCCACGTGGGGAGCTGTTTCTTAGTACTCTTTCCAGTAATTTGCTGTTAGGTAAAATATGAGTTTAGGGATTTTTGATCAATTGAGTTCAGGTTTTGAAGGCCATAATGTTCTGACCCATTTTCTGTCTGTGTGAGTGAGTTTCTGCCATCCTGCCAGTTCCTCTTTGGCATCAGTTGGTCTCCATTAGTACTCTTTTGCTTTCCAAATTTCAGTGTTATCAGGTTAGAAAAGAGTTGTTTGTACAGGAAGTTGGCTATGCAGTAAAACAAGTACCTCAGGGCCAGGTGACCCAGGAAACCACTATGACAAAGTTTACATAAATAGTACTGTTTGATCATTGACGGAGAACTGTAAGACCATTTAACACATCTGCCCATGAGCTGAATCTAAAGTCTCCTAGGGATGGATATAGGAATATTGTACCTGGTCAAGAATAACTGTCATTTCATTCTCCATCTTCAGCACAGACACACACACACACACACACGTATATATGTATGTAGGTAGGTATGTAATATATATAAATATATGTGCATACATAGGTCTTTGTCATAGTTGAGTGGGAAGGGAATCTGTTGTAAGAAGTTTCCAGTGAAAACAAAAGAAGACTGTATTCTCAGAGCCAACAAGACCTAGAGTAGCAAGTTCCTGACTGCCTTATACCGCAGTGGTTTTGGTGTTTTAAATAATAGCCCTATCCCCAAGGACCTTTGGCCATTGGTTTATAAACTGCTGCACAGAAAATAGCTTTGAAGTATGGCAAGGCCATTTGTAGTCAGATGCACTATTCCTGGAAGGAATCCTGGTGGCACAAACAGTTAAATGGTTGACTGTTAAACAAAAAGGTGCTGGCTCAAACCCATCCAGCAGCTAGCTCCTTAGGAGAATGTCCTGGTAGTCTGTTTCCATAAAGATTATAGCCAAGAAAACTATGGCAGTTCTACTCTGTCACTTGGGGTTGGTATGAGTGAAAAATGACTTGATACTTCACAGGAGCAGCACTGTTCCTGAAGGAACACTTAAGACCAACAATTAGACTCTGGGAATCAGCTGAGAACTAGCTGTAAGGAGTCCTTGATTTAAATCAGTACCTGCAAGGATTGGGCAGTTGAACAGTTGGAACCTGGAAGGTGGTATTCTGTCCTTTCACCAGGCTTTTCTTCTTCCTCTAGAATGTTTTAGAAAATCACAGTAGGAAAACTGGAGTAATTCCAGGCCTATGAATAGGGTTGTATTAATTTAATAACTGTCTTGGTAGTTTACACTCACTCTTGGCATTCAGCCAAAATAAATCTTTGCTTCCTACTCAAAGAAATTAATTTCTTTCAGGAGGAAAGTAATTCATGGCAAGTTATCCATCAGTCACAGATTATTTCCTCCATATCTAAAGGAATATTAAAAAATGAATTTCTGATATTGACATGTTTAAAACCATGTTGAGAAAGTACAGCCCACAGCATTTTATAACTAAGTGTTGAACCACATAGTATAGACTGAACATTTTCAGAACAGGGAACAATCATGCTAGGCCAGGGTAGTTAAGCTTTCTGGAGAAGATAGGTCTTCCCACCACTCTCTAAGACTGTATCATATTTCCTTCTGTGCTCCCCCCCCCAAAAAAAAAAACCACACCAAACAACTTTGTCCCGTTGTGCTAGTGCCCATGATGTGTGATTCTTTTTAGGCTTGTCTTGTGTTATACATATGACTAACCATTTTAGAGACCTATAGGGTAAGATTTTCAGATATATTGTCAGGAGGGATCAGTCGCTGGAGAAGGGTATCATGTTTGGTAAGGTGGAAGGTCAGAGCAAAAGAGGAGACCCCCAGCAAGATGGATTGGGAAAGTGGCAGCATCAATGAGCTCAAGTGTGGCAACAATTGAGGTTGGCCCAGGATCAGGTAGTGTTTTGCTCTGTTGTACTGGGTTGCTATGAGTCATTACCAACTCGATGGCACCTAACAGCAACAACAACAACAGGGTAAGATCACTACATTTGATGTCCCTGGAGTTAGCATTCCCAGTGTCATATGGACTAAGAGAAAAATTCAGAATTTAGGAGAAAGAATTCCTGTATTTCTGGGTTTTCTTGGTTTTAGACGTTAAGGAGGAGGCGTTGAGGGTACTTCCAGGTGATGAGAATCAATGACTTTTGCAATCTGCATGCAGGTTGGGAAGTACATTGTAGAGTATACTCAAGTTGAAGACAAACAATTGGGTTTCATAAACCAGATTATTCAATCTATGATACTCTGTTGATGGCTGTTTTATCATCTGTGAATGTGTGATTAAGTAATGTATGAGTGTTCTAGCTTCATTTAAACTGTATTTCTAGGTACAGAGTTGAATGGCAGCCCTTAGACCAGAACAGCAGCACTCAGGAGACCTGTGTGGTGGTGGCAGTGGCCATAAGAATGAACCTACCTCAAGGGAAACATAAGGCCAAAGGGAGACAAAGTAGGGCTACTAAGTTTTCAAAGTGTCACTTCCCTGGTAACTGTGCAGGGTCTGGGTTGATTCCTTTAAGGACATTACCAGACTTAATTACTGTATAGTTGCTGTTGCTGATAAGTGCTATCAAGTCAATTCTGACTACGACCCTATGTAGTGTTTCCAAGTAGTGGCTGATGGTTTTGAACCGTTAACCTTGTGATTATCAATCCAATGCTTATCCTACAGGTAGTACTATATACTCATTACCAGGGTACTATACATTTTGTCATGAAATTAAGAGAGAATGGAATTTGTCCATGAACTTTTTTGCAGTCTCTCATATTTGCTTATTTTATCATGTTGTGTCTCCCACTAGTATAAGTTCTCAGTGCACTCTTACTCACCTTTTTATTCCTAGCACCTAGCACAGATTCTGTCAGAGTAGGGGCTTCCTGGCTCTGTTTCAAGGCCTGGGTTTGATAGCATAGTGGCCAAAAAACATCTGTTCAAGAGCTGAGATTTTGGGTTCTAGGCCTGATTGTGCCCTACCTCTTCTAGTGACTTCAGTGCTCTTAGGGCCTTAGTGTTCACTATCTGTAATATAGATTGTGTCCCTGACCGCAAAAGAATGATCAAACATTGTCACAATGGTAAAGGTAGAAGTTTTGTAACAAAAAAGGGGTCGGGGTGCGGGGAGTAGTTAATCCTACAGTTCAGGAACAGAGGACCCTAGGACCATCAAGGGAGAAAAACACAAGCGGAATGTGGTACCCTATCCAGAGAAGCAGTAACACCAGAGGTGGAGGCAGAGATGCGGACACAGAGAGAGAGAGCCGTTCAGGACTCTAGACTCATGGAAAGAGAAAGGCTGTGTGCTGGCGGCCAGGAGGCAGGTTTGCAGAATGTGCATTTTGGTTGTTTAAATGATTGTATCCTAAGTGTTTTTGTGTACATTCCCCCCAGCCCAAAACAAAACAAAAAAACAGGGACTAGAAGCAAGTACTGTTGAATGATGATGCACGGATGACATTGTAATCATTGCAATGAAACAATGAGTGTAAAACTGATGTTCTCCTATGTAAACTATTACCCAATTCACAATAAAAACTTAAAAATAAAATATAAAAAAGAATGATCAAACAGAGCTAACTGAAAGAATTTAAAGTACAGGCACTCCCAGGTTACAAACATCTGTTTTGTTCAGTTGTGCACAGGGTCACTATGAGTCAAAGCTGACTCCACCAGCACCTAATATAAATAACAAGGATACACTTAGGAGTCGTTAGCATAGAAGTGATCATTAGAAATGTTGGAAAGCCTGCGTCATATAGCACCAGAATAGCTGTAGGCCCCAAATAGAACCTTTGAAGGCATTATCAGTGGAGAAGAATCAAAAGGAAAGGGACTAGCCTCTAACTGTTGTTGTGTGCCGTTGAGTCGATTCCGACCCTTAGTGACCCTGTATAGGGTTTCCAAGAAGCAACTGGTGAGCTTGAACCACCGACCTTGCAGTTCAAACAGCTTTGCATTGTGGCGCATTAACCCACAACGCCACACCAGGACTCATATTCAGTAGCTTTGCATACCCAGTACTAATGTGATTCTTGAATCATGTAAAAACACTGAAGGAAAATAGTAGCTAATCCTAGTCAGGTTTCCTCTCCATTTTCCTTATCACCTCAGATGCAGATTCTTCAAGTTCGGCTTTTTTTTGTGTGGGAAAAATGTTTTTGGAAACTCTGAGGGCAGTGGACTCTCTAGACCCGAGGAAGATTACTCTAGGCATCTTTGCCTCATGTGATCTTCCTTGTGTTAGCCATTTCTTAGCTGCTCATAGAGAAATCACTTCCTTCTAGATGGATAGTTTCTAGGGAGTGAAAAGTAGGCCTCCATGAATGTGAATTGGAGCAGAAACTGAACTTTTTTTTTTTTTAACTTGTGAGTTGAGTGAGGGTTTACGGAACAGATCATTAGTCCCACATTCAAAAAATTACCCACTTCATGTCATTACAGTAATTGCAGTCCACTCCGTGTACTGTACAGTATTTACCTCTATTCACTTTTATTTTTTCCTTACCTACCCCCTCAACCATCATAGAATAGCAAGACAATTGTTTCTTAACTTTTACAACAGTTGTTGTCGGTTAAGTGCCTTTAAGTCTATTCCGACCCATAGGGTTTCCAAGGAGCAGCTGGTGAGCTTGAACCACTGACCTTGTAGTTCAAACAACTTTGT